TTTTGAAATAAATCACATCCCATATCCATGGAAGAATGTTGTGCATGTCGAGAATGTTGTTTATTTCAGAGAGAGGAAGGGATCTAGGGAAGGAAGGGAGGAAGAGAGATTGAGATTAAGAGAGAGAGAGAGAGAGAGAGAGAGAGAGAGAGAGGTAAAAAGAGAGAGGGAGACAGACAGAGAGAGACAGAGAGAATACCATAGATCCACTAGGGTCACCCAAAGTGTAACATTTTACCGCTTTTGTGAGTCAAAGTCAGAGTCATATACCAAAGACATAGGTTGAAAGAGAGGACAGCTATTATGTTTTTTTGCTAGGTCATTTTGTCTGTGAGCTTCAAAAATGCATCACCAAATACTGTGTTTATTCAACTTCTATAAAAAGAAAATCATATTATGATTTTCCTTTTTCTTCTTTGTACATTTAAAAAAAACCTGTATGGGTGAATAATTTTTATGTAATATTTCTTTTAGTATTATCAATTTTTAAAGACCACAGACCGAGAGTAAACCCTTACAAAGTGGAACTCTCTTATTGCTGTATGCCAATTATCCTGAATAACTGAACCACATTTGTAAGCATCTGATTTGAAATTGTTGTTATTTCCAGATCAACAAACCAGAAAAACATGGGGGTGTGATAGCACCCTGCCTAGGCTGTTGTGTGTATTTGTTATCATAAACAGAATAAGGTACACATTAATCTTCTGTAAGCTGGAAGAGTTCGCACATCAGGGCAGCTTTTCACGAAACCTTCATAAGAACAAATTTGCTGACAACCATTTCAAATGGGATGTCAGTGAACTTGTATAACAATTTTGTGAAACGACGCCCAGTTCTCTTTCAAGAATGAACACCCAGGGGCATAGTTATATAGGTTTATAGGTCTTTGTAAGGGGGTGGGGGGGGGGGGGGGTTGCACCACTTAGCCAACAGGTTAGCTTAGCTGAACATTTCCCAACAATCAAGCAAAGATAAAGAATAGTGTGTGTGTGTGTGGGGGGAGGGGGTGTTCCTTTACATTTTTTAGTGATTTGCTTACAGAAAATTCTGAGGGCGGGGTGTTAGGTGGGGTTAGAATTAGGATGAAGGTTACGTTTAGGGTTGGAGTTATAAAGGTATTGATATATTGATGTAGAGGTGTCGTGGTCGAGTGGATATGTCACCGGACTGTGGATCACAAGGTCCGCGGTTCAAGTCCCGCCGCGGCACTAATGTCCTTTGGCAAGACATTGATCTACATTTGCCACTCTCCACCCAGGTGTTAAAATGGGTACCCGGTAGGATGCGAAAGCTAATGTGGTTTGATTAGCAATGGCGCTTGTAAAATGGCGACTGGCTGGAATGCTCCCCAGGGAGTGGAGAATGTGCATACCTTGTATGCGGGTAAGCATGAATCCGATGACCGGGGTAATAATATGTTCCGCGCCTAGAAACGTAGTATTAGGCGCATTATAAATGTGAGCTATTATTATTATTATTATATAAGTGTTTGGTCAGGGTTAAAATTACTTGTATGACTTTGGGTAGAATTATAAGGACATTGACCAACGAACAACTGTTACTGGAGCATGCATGTCATTGAACCATGTTCTAAATAATAGAATGGAGTCTGCATCCACACTGAAACTTCAACTTTTACATCCGGCCCAATGTAATACTGTATGCATTCTTAATAGATGGAGAACCACATCCATACTTAATAGATGGAGAACCACATCCATACTAGGCCTGTCCTCATCAGACCGAAGTTGCAAAAGGAACCCGCTATTTTAACTAGCCCGATCTCAAATTAGCCAGCTAATTTGCGTCCTCATCAGCGCCCAGTTGCTATTTGGTCGAGAAAATATCCAGAGAAATCTTGGTCTTGTTTCCAAAATAGCCCTGTATTTGTGATGAGCGTATCAGTTTGGTGAAGACGAGATTTCGAGCTTCGGGAAAATATCCAGAGTCTGAAAATAGCGGGTGATTTTGCAACTTTGGTCCGATGAGGACAGGCCTAATGAGATGCGCAACCCATGGTGTAGGAAAGCTAACGACCCAAACCTAATTCTGACAAAGTACTAGCACATATTTAATCAGACACCCTTGGATTATGCGGGCGTAACGTATCCAATTAAAAGAGCCATTCATCTCATAGACGTGTAAAGCCATGATGCTGGGGCAGGCAACCGGTGTGTTCCTTAGGATGTCATTCTAGGGTATGTGCTCAAATTGGCAAGCCATCTGCTAATTCAAGATTACAAGGATTCAGGAGTACAGAGTACGAGGATGGCATCGTTATGTTGTGATTGTATTATGAAAACATAGGAAACAAAACCGTGGTTATTTGTAAATTATAGGCCTTTAATCGACAGAAATATATATTTTTTCGAATCAGTGTATCGGTACATGTGTGAACCAAATAAAAAGTTGAAGAGAGGAGGGAAAATGTGTGCAAAATGAATTTGAGCAATAGAATGAGATTAAGCATCAAGTGTACTAAAAAATGCATTATTATTTAATTCTAGAAAGCCATAAAAAATTAGCATCAGGAAATTAGGTAAAACACTGCTTCTATACTAGAAACATCTCTTAAGAACCACTTCTTTTTGAAGAAAATAAACAATTAAAACTCCGAAATAGCCACTTATAATAGATACTGATACCACTGATACCTTGAAATTGCATTTTTGAAATGCAAAATGAAACTGCTCTTCGCCTTCTGCGAAACAGTTATAAATGGAAATCATGCACACTTCTACAATGTGTATCTGATCAATTACTAGGATGATCAGGGTAATTGTGTTTGTATTGCAGTCAAATCTAGTCTTACAACTTCTTATGGTAAGCAATCCATTCTGTTATATGCCCACTCCATGTAATTCATACCGCCACCTCTCCTAACGTTTCACCACTTCAATTGTACCCCGACCACGGTCATTGATTTTTAACACCTCCAGTCCCGCATCAAAATGCAAATGGAATACTGTCTAGACGAGGTCTAACCCTTATGCTTTGAGGTGTTTACGAGTGCGCTAAAATTGGCAACACATCTGGATTTCGTCAGAGAAATCCCAATGAGATCCCTCAATGCGTATTGGTTTCAATGTACGCCCATTATTTCTTTTCTCTGCTCTTTGTTACATTTGGAACTGGGCAGTTGTAAACAACTGAAGTGGTAAAAGCTGTTTATTGCTTTTGCTATGAACAAGTTCATCTGATGTTTGTGACAGTTATTGGTTAGTATCCCATGATTTGAGGTTAGGGTGGGTTGTAAAATTGCCCAACAGGATTGTATTCTCTGTGAGATGTAATCCAGGATTATTTCAACGTCCTGGGTTTTGTAAACGAAAAGTCTATTTCTTGTTTTTAAGTCTGATTCTTAAGTCCATAAATACTACAAAGATAAGATCCATTCCTTGAAATTGAGACAAAAGTCTTCCAATGGTCGTTAATATAAAAGTATAATATTAAAAACAATCAATAATAGATATCAGATCTATCCTTTCAGCTGTGTAGTCTTTTGTCATTCCCAAAATATTTGAAATTCTTGATGTATATCTATCCGAAAAGAACCTCATGTATTATGGTCAATTTTTTGATATGGCAAACTTTTGTTTTTGTTTACCCTTGTGAGTCAAAGGTATTTCAAGACTTATATAAAAAGAAAAGCTAATTTTGTATTCCTTTCTTACTTCTCATGTAGTAATTCTGTAGATTGTCTGAGAATTTTGTTATCTACATGTACCGTCAAAATTTGTACTTTCACACCTAAGTAGGAAATCTGAATGCCCTGAGAATTAAAACAGCATATGCCTCTAGTGTGAACCTATATACAGGAGCCTTATTTTACTCCCTGAGAGGCCGAGACATATCTTTTCTTCTCACAAACATTGTAATTCAGTAATATTTTTATCATACTTCTTATATTCTTGAAAGATAGAGTATGTATAGATTTGAATCATACTGGTACATGTATCTTGATCGCAAACAGTAAAATTTAGGTCCCACAAATCAGACATTATGATGCTGCACCCACACACCCCTGTGACGTGCGTAGCTAGTGATTCAGGAAGTGATAGAGTGGTGTCATTACGGAAGATGGAATAAATGACCATATTCTGTATCAAGGATGTTACCCATCGTTGAAAGGGTGAATTGGGAAAAGGACGCATTAGAACAGAAACGTGATCAAAATTATGATGAAGGAACCTCATGGAGCAGGGTTGTTAGGAGGAACTGAACACGTATATCGGTACATGCATTCCAGAATAAAGCCTATAGGGGGCAGAGAGGGAGAAAGAGAGAGGGGGGAAGACAGAGGGGGCAGGGGAGACAGACAGGGAGGGATGATGGGGCAAGGAAGATTTTAGAAGAGAAACATAGTAGGAGGGAGAAAAAATGTGTACATATGTGCGTACAATACATAAGGGAAACAGTAGAGGGCCTTAAAGTAGTCACCCGAAGAAAATTGACGACAATTGATAATTATGGACAAATTATATATGGATGGAACAATTTTCTCTTGAAAAACACCAATATTTTGCTTAAAAAATCATATAGATATCATGGAAAGGCGTGAAATGCTTTGTGGCTAGCTGTGTCCCGCATGTAATGAATTTTGACGCTCTACAGAGGACCGCTAAAGGCAGCAAATCTGGATTTTTGAGAGATAATGAATGCAGGCCCCAAACATATTTTGAAGAGGGAAGTTGTTATATTTGATCAGTAAGGCTTCCCCTTTGCAAGGATATGAATTGTGCATCAATTCAAAACACTTATGATTCTTCAGGTGACTACTCTAAGGGTAACTTGCTCATGTTACTCACATAACAATGAAAGAAGAGCCACCTCCATTCAAGCATCAGGAACTACATTGTATTATCATTATTTCAAATATTTTCTCATTCTGTATACTGTGTAGTGAGCTAATTTTTCAAGTAAATATTGATAAGGCTTATAAAACTCCTAATCTCTTCATGTTTGTTTACAATTTTTTTATTTGTCTTTTATCACAGAATGATGCTGGTGGAACTCAGGATGGCGCTGGAAAATTTACTACATTCTTGAAGGCCCGCCTAAGCTGTGCAACAGCTGGAGATTTTCAGATGTCATTCGACTACCTTCGTAAGTGACTCCCTCCCCTCTCCCATCTCCCTTCTCTCTCCCATCTCCCCTCTCTCTCCCTCCCTCCTCCCTCCCTCCCTTATTTCCCCTTCCCTTATTTCCCTTCCCTTTCCCCTACCTTCTCCGTCCCTTCTCCCTCTCTCCCTCGCTTCTCATTCCCTTCCTCCCCCTACCCTTCCCCTCCTATCTCACCTCTCCCCCCTCCCATCCCCCTTTTCCCCTCCCATCCCCCTTTTCCCCTCCTTTCCCCCTTCCCGAATAGACAATTTTGAGCATTATCATTTTCAAACTCTATAAACTTTAAAAGGAGAATGTGTGTTATTTTTAGTCACTTGAGAATGCAATTGTTTTAATGATATGAATGAAAATTTCATGGAGTTTGTGGATGGAATTCATAGAAATTAAGTGTTGCCTGTTTTCATCTTCCAAACTTATCACAACACGTTTTCTAAATGTTCACTTTAAGAATCAGCATGTAGTTTGAGACAGTAATATGAGAGTTGGGTAAGGTGACTTACCAGGAAACAGGACATATTTTTTGTCAAATTTTGTAATGTTAAATAGTTTGTATTTTTTGGTAAGAATAGAATAGATGAGGAAGATGGACAAAGTTGAAGAGAGGGAAATGTGTCAATTCAGGAAAAGACTGACTTCCGTACGACCCTGGCGTACCTTGGAATGGCTTTGAAACTGCTTCCTTTGCAACAACAACAAATGATAAATAAAAAAATAAAACATAATAAAGCGATCGTTATCAGTGGTTAAGAGTTCAGCCATAAAACTGTCGACTATTTTCTAATATTTGAGATTTAAAACGAGATGTAAAAGTAGAAAAAGGCCAGAGAGTTCTTGGTAAAGTATGATTGATGAACAGAAAACGAGAGAAGAAGGAGAAGTAAGAATAAATTGACACAGAATGAAAAATTGTACCTGTATAAGAATAAGCCTGCTCTTGTTAATGTATCAAAAATGTTTTAAAGGTAACATTGATAATAATCTGAGTTGCAATTCATAAATACAAATTACTAACGTAAAAAGGTTCTGACCTTCATATAGAGATATGATTGCAATTCGCCAACATTTTTACCAAATAACTATAAATTATATGTATTTATACCCATGTCCTTGCATCGGTTTAAAACACAACTGATATCAAAAGTCTCATTTTGCTATGGTATGTACGTGTATTAACATATCTTTGGTTTACAGAAGAGCACATTTTATCACATTGATTTTTTGTTCTTCTTTTTTCTTTTTCACTTCAGATGGAATCTTTAGATCACCACAAAATCAGAACATCATTTTTGGTGCCTTTACTACACCAGAGTAAGTACCTTTTCTTCTTAACGCCTCTAAAACAATACAGTCCAACAATATAACACTACTAATAATAATATAATACATGTAACTATCCCCCCAAAAAAACCAAAAGCATCGGCTATAAAGTTAAAGTAGTCACCGAAAGAAAATTCACGAAAACTGATAATTAGGGACAAATTATATATGGATGGAAAGATTTTCTCTTGAAAAACACAAATGATTTGCTGAAAAATCATAGAGATATCATGGGGTGTAAAATGCTTTGTGGCTATCTGTGTCTCACATGTGAAGTAAGACATCTTGACCACTGAAGGCAGATAATCTGGATCTCAAAATTCACATTTTTGAGGAATGATTACTGCGGGCCCCAAACGTATTTTGACAAGGGAAGTTATGATATTTCATCAGTAAGGTTTCCCCTTCGCAATAATATGAATTTTGCATCAATTCTAAACACTTTTGATTCTTTGGGTGATTACTTTAAGGTCTTTAATGAAGTTGGTTAAACATATGGAGCCTACTAACTTGACTTGCCCGTTATATTTTGAAATTGTAACCTATAGGTGCCCTTTGGATTCTTTATCATTCTTTTTTCTCTCCTCTTTCGTCAGATTTTCATTTGCTGCATCCGCCATTTGTGCCTACGACCTTGCAGAGATAGAAGCCGTTTTTGCCACGTCTGCTTTCAAGGGCCAGAGTACAGGCAGCTCCCTGTGGCTTAACGTCCCCAATAATGATGTGCCAGAAAATCCCAGGCCAGGAGAGGTAAAGTCTTAAAGCATTTTTCAATCCATGGTTGAGTAGGTACTTCTCTTTCCCATCTTTTTTCTACTTTTATCTCTTTCTGCCCTACTTTTCGCTTCCTTCTATTCTTTCTCTGTAACCTTCTTTATGGACGTGTGTGTGTGTGTTGATGTATGGGTGCGTACTTGTATTATTTAAGTACTTTACTTTTTATTGTTAATTCATGTGCATTATCTTGTTATTGTTTGTTTGCAGGGCCCCGATTACAAGCAGATTTCTGCTTCTTAGGGGTCCTAACCATTATATTGTATATTGTATTTTCATTGTAAATTGTTTTTATACTAGTTGAATAAATGAAATGAAATGAAATGAAATGAAAGCCCCACTGTACTCCTTATAGCTATTTGCGCCCTTTATATAGCAAACAATGCCTAATCGGTGCCTGTTGGTCCCCCATGATCTTTTTCTTATGTTAATTGAGAGCTGATTTGATGAGATAACCTACTGTCAGTGACCTCGCAGGGAGGTCTAATCCCCCCTAGCCAAACTAGTACAGCCGGGCTTTGAAGGCATCTTTTTAACAATGTTAGGTTTGAGATGCATGGCCCTAACTGTTCTCCAATAAAAATTCCGCTTCAAAACGATCATGAAGTGCCTCAAAAAAGTAAAAATATTTTGAGTGACCGGTTTTACCTCATTTTCCCCAATAGACTGTAGTGTTATTTAAAAAAAAAAAATCCAATCATAAATATCTTGATAATCAGACATGCGATCTTCTTGTAAGAGTCATGAGATTCCTGACTGACTTAAAGGTTTTTAATTATTATTACAGCATGAGCTAAATCCAGGATTTTGTTTCAGAATCTGAGACAAAGATACCCAGTCCAGCCTGAGATAAAGTTGCTTTTGATAAAAGTAGAAGAGACCTTTGCATCTAGTTAATAGGGACTCCTAGTCCAGGGAATTGTTATTATTTTCATCTTAGTTTGAAAATACAAAAGAATATTATTTTATGTACCGGTATATAAGTATCTAGATCCTTCCTCCATCCAAATTCATTGCGTGGCATCATTTTTTTCCTCCTCCCTTTATCCCTTCCCCACCAGTGCTCGGCTCCGCAACCAATCAGCAGCTACACCAAATTCCAACTCATGTCAAAGCAGGTTCCCAACAAAGCCGATTACTCTTCGCCCCCTCGTACCGTTCTCGATGCCAACAGCCCTCCCCTCATCCTACTGCAGCTCTACCGCTTTCAAAAGTTGGTCGTCCAGGAAATGGCCGTGTCGGGACTGGAGTTTGATATTTTCTTCCTCGGTACAAGTGAGTAGGAGGGTTCTTTCTTAGGGAGAGGGAGAGGGAGAAGGGGAGCGAGGGAGGTTTTTGAGAATAGAGAGAAAGAGAGAGTGTTTGTGTGTTTGCGTGTATGTGGGTGTGTGTGTGTGTTTGTGTGTGAGAAACAGAGAGAGAGAGAGAGAGAGAGGGGGGGGGAGGGAGAGACATGAAATAATGTCATTGTCAAATTCAGTTCTAAGAAAAAGGTTGAATCCCAATGATGCATATTGCATCCTGCTCTTCTAAATGCTACATTTTTATTATTTTTTGCAATACATTTTTATGAATAATGAAAAGACATGAGGGTCTGTCTGGTCTTGATTTTGAAATGCTTGTTTTCTTCTTTCATGTAATAGGTGAAGGTCAGATTTTGAAAGCATACATCTATGGTGAAACTCCCAGGATAGTTGAGGAGATTCTTCTTGATCTTGATAGTGATGACGTAAGTGTTGACTTCCTTCCATTGTAGTTTCATTATTTTCTGATCCTACTCCTGATTGTAGAGGCGTTCATGATAGGATAGGTTAAAGGCATCGCTTAACAATGTTAAATCTGAGATGCATGGCACTACATGTTATCAGGGTCTGTGATATGGTGTAATATTGAAGCCCTGAAACAATTGCGCTTCAAAATGATCATGAAGTGCCTCAAAAAAGTAAAAATCTTTGAGTGACAGGTTTTACCATACTCAATTTCCCCAATGAACTGTAGTGTTATGAAAACCATTAGGAAATGAAAATTGAAATTTTGATTTCCAATCATAAATATCTTGATGATCAGATAGGCGATCTGTCATGGGATTCCTGACTAACCTAAAGGTTTATAATTATGATTGCAGCATGAGCTGAATCCAGGATTGTGTTTCAGAATCTGAGGCAATGTTATCGAGTCACTTTGAATTAATGAAGAAAAAAAGAACAAAATGTGACTTAGAGGTAGAATGTGGTTTGATTTTTTTGTTAAGTGTCTTCATGTTCTGTTTGGATATTTGGCATGTTTTCCACCTTCCTGCATAACATTTTACAAATATATTTCATGATATTTTCATTCTGTTTTTGTGAAGGAAAAGTTTATCATATTGAATTTAATTTAATCATTGTCAACTTTGTAATCTTAACCTGAAAGTCACACATTTACTACTTTATTCAAGTTACATTTCAACTTTCTATGTATATATCATTCTATTTTTTCATCTGTTTGAAGCTAGAAGGGCATTAACTTGTATACACTGTACAGTGTTCTTTAACTCAGACCTAACGCCCTTTTGGCTTCGAAATGAAAATCAGTGTGCTATATTCCTCTGTAAGTTATATGATGAAAACTAAATAGAAACGAATTTCATTCTTTATTGTAGGAGGCCATCAATGTTCTGAAAATCAGTAAAGATGGCACCCGAATCTTTGCCAGCACAACATCTAGAGTGTACAGTATTCCGACGGAGAATTGCCAGCGTTTCAAAACGTGTGCCGAGTGCGTCGAGGGGCAAGACCCCGCATGCTCGTGGGAAGCAGCACAGGGCAGGCAAGGATGTGTAGCTTCTCATGATGGGTAAGTAGTACAGTCTAACCTGTCTACAGCGACCACCCAAGGGAAACAAAAAATGTGCTCGTTGTAGACAGGTGGTCTTTGTAGACAGGCTCCTTTAATACATGTTTCAATGAGAAAACATTTTCAAGGGAAACAAAAAATGTGCTTGTTGTAGAAAGGTGGTCTTTGTAGACAGGTGGTCACTGTATCATTTTTGAGGCTTTCCACATTGATTTCAGTTCTTTCAATTTGAATTCAACTTCTTCTGTGCAAAGCCATGAGAGAATCGAGTGTTAGCGATGACTGTGTTTCAACTAAAAAAAGCTACTCGTATCTTCCTTGAATGAAAACAAGTGTCTTCATTTGAAGGCTTGTTCAGATATAAGGCGGTAATCTACTGCAAAATTAAAAGGCACATTTCATAAAATGTGTAAATGAAGGGCAATGCGTACAATAAAGGTCTGTTGCGGGGCACAAATACATTTTTTTCTTCCACATAATCTCTTGGCAGTGTTTGGCAAGCATGTGCCATCTGCGCTTGAAATTCAACGTTTGAATCCTCTTTTCTTTGCCTTCTTTCATGCTCAGATTAATGGACCTTGAAAATGGATCAATTGCTCTATGTCCCGTAGCATCGTCAAGTAAGTATCATACAATGCTTGGAGTAGTGACTCGGTTCTAATCTTTACAACTGCACAGTATGGAATCCCTCATGAAATCGATCAGGTCATAAAAACATTCAAGATATTTAGCTTACTTCTCTCTTAGAATTGTTGCTTCTGGTCACCCAGCGTTTCACACTTTTTTTTCCCTTTTTGGGGGCAGGGAGTTTGGGTTTTTAGAGTCTTGATGCAATTTTCTATTTTTTTCGGGTTCATTATCAAAATTTAGGGGCTCCTGTGCACTCTGCCCCAGGTATTTTCTTGGTTATCATGCTGCTTGCTGGAGAGGAGCCTGACATGGCAACAATAATATATATAAATATGCACCATTTGTCTACTGCCTCGAAATAAATCCATGATGAATGAAAAGGTTTTTCTTTTTTTTATATTTGGGAAAGAAGTTCTATAAATTGGTGTTTTTGTGAACTGATAGATTAATGAGGTAACTGATCTTTGCTTTGCATACTAACTGACAGTGAAGCATGGCTTTGAGTCATGTCATACCAAGGGGGTGTTTCACAAAGATCCTAAGTTGAACTTATCTCTAAGTTGGACCTAACAATTTTGGAAAGTCCTTAGCATCTTTGAAAATATTTTGTAAAAGTTATTTTAAGAGGCATAAAATGCAGATTCAAATCATTCACATTTTCAATTATCAAGGAGATTTCATGTTCTTGATGTGGAATTTATAAAAAAAAAAGTCTAAAATACTTGAATTTTTCGCTTTTGAATATATGTATTTTAAGGCTACAAATGGCTCTTCACAATTTTTAAGTCCAGCTTAGAGTTAGTTCAACTTAGGATCTTTGTGAAACGCCCCCCAGGATATACACATGTGCATCAGAAATCTTAAGAATAATACCACCAGTATCACTGGATTATATTTCACTTCTCACTTTAATGAGGATTTCAGTTATTTTGTTTACTTTGATTTATTTTCCATTGAAGGTAGAACTCATTTTTTTAGTTTCAGTCATACTAAGTAACAGTCATCATAATTGATTAGTAGATGAAGAATTACATATATTAATAGAATCATTAACAGATTAATCTAATGTGATGTGGAACAAGTAGTACAGGTTCTGTGTCCTTCTTTGTTTTCAGAAAGAAAATGGAAAATTTCTAAAAGGGATTTGAAACTTGTTTTTATCTCAGAACTTATGACTTAAATGCAAGACATAAAACTATAACTCCTCTGTATATCTCTATATTTAGCATGAAAATGGCTAGTAACTTTCTATGAACTATTGTGATTTTGTTTGCATGTGGAAAGAGATCGATGTAGTATTAGTGTGGTCACATTTAATGCCTGCTATATGTATATGTCTTTACTAAAGTTGTAAAATATTTCCATCCCTATTGTTTTGGCCATACGCTGTACATTCTAGACCAAACTTTATTAGTTGAAATCCATTCAATATTCATCAGCTGGTTTATTCATTTTTTGTTTTCTTCCCATTGTCTTTTGGAGTATTCTTTTGAAATTGTTTTCATCCACGGTTAATTCACACACTTTCTCACACTTTGATTTTAATTTCTTATTCGAGTTCTGCTCATAAAAGCAAAAGGACACCCCCACTTCCACCCATCCCCTATTTCTGCCCCCTCCCCCAATTACAAAGAAGAGATAAGGAAAGCTCTTCAGCTTCAATTTGGGCAGAAATCCACTTTTCGCTACTAGATGGAAGCCCTAGAGAATTTTTTCCCCTAACAAAATGTAATATTTTATACCGCCCCCTTTTAATTTGGTCCCATAATATTTTTAACAAGTGATCATTTCTCGGAGAGCTACAGGTAATATACTGTGATGCATTCAACATCACTTAACAATGCTCTCTTTTTGTGTTGCCTGTGCGTGTGTGTCTTTTTTTTCCTTCCGTGATCGTCCTCCTCGTCTGCCACCAACCAACAGCCACGACGCTCCAGACGAGCCCGGCCACGCCGGCCACCGACACCACCGATCAGACGCCCTCCTTGACGGGGACGACCACGGGCAAGGACGGACAAACGCCCAACTCCAAAACACAAACCGGTACATCCAATTCTTCGGAGAGCATGGGAACCTTTCCCCGACCTCCACCTCCAGACATATCCGCCACCTCTACCACTCCTAGCCGATTAACTTTCCGTACAACTCCACCACTACCGCAACCCACCACCACCGAGTACAATCCTTTCAACTACACACCCGTGGAGCCCAATAGTGGCCAACAACTAGTTTGTATGTTCAAGATTCCTCTACGTTCTCTCTCTTTCATTTTATTTTGGACAAATTAACAACTCCAAAACTAATCTTTTCACAGGGAAGTTTCTTGTAGAGTGAATTCCAAATAATGAACGCATCAAAGCAGAAACAGAACACATCAGGTCTGACTTTGAGAGGAAAACCTAATTTTTTCACTTTTTTGTCAATTACAAATCAACAGTTTTTCAACAATCCAGCTACAAAGGGGGGAGGGGGGGGGGGGGGGGGGGAGTCTGGATGGCTGTGGGGAGAAAATTAAGGGAAGGAAATGTACTCAAAAGTACCTGATGTTTGGTTGCTTTTCCTGATCATATCTGTTCATGATTTGAAGACAGCTTACAAGAAACAACCCTGGTGCAATTGTTGTCATTATTCCAAGAGTTTCAATTGTTTTGTTTTTGTTTTTGGTTAAAGCCAATTATTATTAATGTCTGACTCTCATCCCATTCAATACCAAGCAAAACATCCATCTCAAAACTTCCGGCTTCTCTACTTACGCTTCTGCGATTTGTTTTGTGTTTAAACGACACACCACGCCCTAGCTTAACATCCCCTGATGTTTCTGTATCTCATGTGTATACCGCTTGGTTCTACTTCTCCTAAGGTCTCGATTTCTGCCAGGTTCAGCTTTTCTTTCCACACCCGATCCACATCACCTATTGTCATGAACACTGTCTAGCTTATCTACTCCGGACAGGATTAATATACATCCGCTTCGCACGATTAAGTCGACTTAAAGCGTACATTTTCAATAATGAAAACTGCTTGTCTGGACTTAAGCCAAGTTCAATGCACACTTTTGAAATCTAAAAAAATATGTTTTAGAATAATCATCAAGTAACAGTTACTTTTTCATGAGATACAGAATGTACTGTATATTTGCAATTATGCCGCTGTTCAGAGATTTAACCTAGACATGCCGCTTGTTTAACAATTTAGAGTTCCATTGCATGTTTCAAAAAAGATGGAGTTGGGTCTCATGATCTTTATTTTGTCCTGAAAATTGACCGTAGGAATTAGAAAAGGAATGGTGCTAGACATTGGAAATTTATGTCAGAATGTCCATATTCTTCTAAAATCTGGTCCATTATTCAAGGGAAATGATACAGTGCTTCAAAAAAAATCTTGCTTCATGCTTTAACAATAGTATTATGTTCTCTTCATTTGCATGATGATATGGCAAAATTATTATTTACAAAAATTCAAAAAATAGAGAAATACCAAGGCAGAATGAATACTTCATAGCAAGAAATTGTAAGATTTAAAAAAAATTGGTATATTTTGATCTTTAGTCACCTGAGCATGCTTATCTATTTCATAGTAGAGTATTCTTTGTCGATGAAAAATAGCACTACACTCTGAATAAACAAGGGGTGTCTAACATCCTTAAAGCAAAGAATATAGTTTAAGAAAGATGGCCTTTTCATCTCACTGTCTTTCCTGGCAATCATAACAAATTGATTAGGGGCTTACCCTTGGAGTGATTCCAGCAAGAAATGAACAATTAGGGAATTACCCTCTAGATGAGTTCTTTAAGATTTGAACAGTCACCAGTGTTTTTAGAAACAAGAATTCCTTACCAAACCGATGCAATCCCTCCTTAGAACTTAGAACCCCATCAAATTAACAAATACCATGTTTTAAAGAACGCTTGATGAAACAAGAGTGAACTCTGAACACCCTCCTGCAGTAGTTTTTGTTTGAGGTTTAGAGAGATATATGGATCATCCTCTTTCTCTTTCAATTAGTGTTTTCTTGCTGTGCTGTAGTGTAGTAATTAAAATTTTGCCGTGACTTTAGAACAATAATGTAACTTTTAGCGCTACTAAAAATTCCCCTCGGTGCCACATCGTTTTCACTAAGTTTCGGTTTCAGTATTACAATTCTTTTAAAGTTAATGATATATTAATGATTTCCGCGAGATGAAATAGTTTTTATGCCACTGAGACCGGAAACGGGCAATTATAAGTAGCTCTCACTGTACAATTATAAAATAAATAATTGTAAATCTTCTGTATCGAATGACAAAGACCAAATTCATTTATGATGGTTGCAGGGAAGATAGGCATGGGGGGGGGGGGGGGGGGTTGGGGATTGAAGTTCAGGTAATATTGATACAGAACCAAAGAAACACTATCTTTACCCTTGGAAATCGTGTATTAAAATGCTGATTTTAGAGTAAAATAGTGTTTGGGATAATTGATGAACAAGCAGTTCAAATCACACCAACAAAATCTGGGATTTGCTAGAAACTGAAAACTTGGGCAGATTAGTACCTATTTAAACAATTCAGATTGTCGTGTCCCTTTTGTTTACAATGACATTTACCTCCAAGAAAATATTCTCCCAATTTCCACAAGTTTATTGTTTTCATTAATGCTTGGACAAGTAGGGCAGTTTCAAAATGTTTACTTTTTTTAAGAAGGCAGTTATGAAGAGCTACATGTATCCATTTAATAGAATTGTAAATCTAAATTGTTAAATCCCTATTTTACTTGGAGTTTTACTCTTATTGGTTGACATTTTTAAAGTAGGAATTATTCCCCATTTGATGCTCATCTCGGATGACATATCCCCCCCCCCCCCCCTGTCTCTCTTTTATCTGACCTCCACCTGTTTCACCTCCACCAGCACTACCCATCCCCCCATTGTGCACCATCTTCTTCTGGTTTGCTGTGCGGGTGTGTTTTACTAACAGAAGGGCCTATGTTTGGGGACATGGGAATAGGGGCTTTATTTAACCTTACCTAGATGGAAGAAATGTACACATAATAATGATAATGATAATAACTGTTCTTGCGTAGCGCATATCACATTATGATTAATTAATTGGATTAATTCGGTTATTTTTTAGCGCATATCACAACGTCTCTATGCGCATCCAAAGAGCTTTGGAAATTATTACCCTAGCTTAAGCTCCGGTAGCCGTTATCAGCGCACAGTGCATTTAAAGGAATAATCCTACCAGGTACCCATTTACCTCACCTGGGTCGAGTGTGGCAAATGTAGATTAATATCTTGCAAAAGGACATTAGTGCCGTAGCGGTACTTGAACCGTGGACCTTGTGATCCACAGTCCGGTGACATATCCACTCGACCATGACACCTCTGATATAGTTCCAAAGTTCCTAGCTTTAGCTCTGACAGCCGCTGTCTGTGCACAGTACGCTAATGCATTCTGTAGATGACTCCTATAGTGTTCCTGGCTAGTTTAATAGTCATCACTTGATTATCCCCTCCAATTTAAGGTACATCGTTTTGGGGAGTACGTTTAGGATATGAAATTGGAGTTGAGCTATTTCTTTCATGACTTGAAATTAATTAATAAAAAAAAAATCTGGAGTCTATTTGAGTTTTGAGTCCAGAATTAGTGCTCCTGTAGCATACAGCCTTTGACTTATAAAACGCTCTGTAAATAAAGTTTGACGAATAGAAGCAAACTGATGCTAAGCGCTGGACCATTTTTAATTAGATATAGGTGTATGTTGATTGGAAGTCCAATAACAAACAGCTGATGTTCTGATATGGATGATGAGTGCTTGTAATTTAATATACCATCGGAGGTGAAGTTAGGTGGATAAAAACGTAAGAAGCAAGAGAATAATGGGGACATCTCTCCTTTGAAGTAGGAATTACATCTTTTCCTCTACTCTCTTCACTCATAGTTTAGGAGGAAAAAGTTCTGTAACAAAACAGAAGGTGCTTTGGGATGTGACTTGGATTAATTTCCCTTTTTCATGGTTTACGTTCAGGGTGATTTGTATTTCTTATTTCTGGTTACTCAGATTCTATTTTGGTTATTTGCATGCATTTGCAGTGTACACCTACTGCACACACTTTTATTTATGTCATGTATATCATTTGTTGTAAATTTACAATTAGACGTGGAACTATAACCAATACATGTACAAGTATTACTAAATTCTAAATGGTATATATACATGTACATGTACATTCAATATGTGAATTGCACCTTTAGATATTTTACTTTATTTGTGGAATGAGCATTTCATATAGTATATCAAATTATATTACAGAAATGCCTCTATAGACGTACGTTCTTTTGAATATTCATGTAGTCACATCGTTGTACACGTACATGTATCTGTGTCAAATTATTTTTCCTGTCGGAAACCAGTCTTTAAGTTTGATTTTGATATACATTACATATTCTGTCATAATTAGAATTATGAAAATGTAATTTGTATTCCAGCAAATAACTGGATGATATTGCAATTAAAAAATACACATTGCTTTTAATGCAAGTAATGTGAATAAACAAATAGCTTCACAACACTGAATAGAAATAGAAAGCTTGCAATATAAGTAGTTTGCCAGTCTAAAATGATCTTAGATTTAGGGTAGTTTCGTTCAAAAAATGTAGTTGCATGCATTGCCAATCACCACCGTAGTATAAAGAGGCAACATTTGCACAAACAAAAAGAACACCAGCACACATAAAAAAGAAAGCTTGCATTAGCTAACATTTAGTGGAAAAAAGGCGTATATCATATTAGTCTACACATTCATAAGGCGTGTATACGTTGCTCCTCAATTCTTTCAGTTGTACTTCAAATTAATATACTTGGTATGAAGAACAAAAGTTAATTACATCTTGTGCATGGTAGTGCATTTTGATGCTTGTGGTATTTTTTTTGAAGGTTAGATCAAGGGACTTAAGACCTTATGTGCCTAAAGTGATACTTTTTGCATGGTAGTGCATGCCAGTGATAGTGAATAACTAAATTGTAATATACTAGCAATAGTATTGACTATGTTCAATTATGCAGGTGGGGGGGGGGGGGGTGGTTAGATATTTAACATCAAGAAAACCGAACACCAGGTGAAGTTATTCGGGAATGCCTTAGGCATGGGCTTTTTCCCCATAAAAATATCTGTATGTTGAAATATAAAAATAAAGAATTGCTCTGCCCTTTGAGGGAAATATAAAACCCAAATACTTATTCAATACTTCTCTTCAAGAAATCAAGACTCATAGCATGCAGTTTGAATGTAGATGTAGATCTTGGAAGAAGAAAAAAAGGAATAGGAAGAAGTGAAAAAAATGTTTTGATCAAGTAGAATTTATTACTTAATTGATGCTATTTCTTGGAAAAAACAGGGAAAAAGGAAATTTATTTAAAGCATTATAAACAATGATATCGCTATTTGTGGCCGCGTCTTATAAAGAGTTGTGATTGATCCGAATGAATCACAAGTCCTCTAATTAATCGCAAGTTTGAAATCCCCTATCTCTTATTTGCATAGTTTTGATTGATATCAATCACACAAAAAACTTGCAACTTCTGCAGGTCAGTTACAAAACTTGAATAATTACATTTGTGGAAAATGATATTTGCTAGAACATATATTTTATAACTATAAATCTCCTATGGGTTTTTCTATCGTTGCTCTCATGGATATGTCAAAACCGCAGATGAGCTGAAGCAAAAAGTTGAATGAAAATGGGAATGCTTTATTTATGATTTAATACATGATATTTCAAAAATAAATTTGCAAAATGGAATTGGAAAAATGGTTATGAATTTATTCAAGATCACTCTGATATGATATGCTATATAATTCAATATCAATGGTGAATACATGGGCAAAATATTATAAAGCTGATATTACATTTGCAGAAAATAGTCACTAGTAGATCATCTTTAATTTTGGTAAAGTATTAAACTTATGCAAAAGTCATATTGAATGTAGAAATAACAAATATATAAAAGCCAGGATGGGGGTAATATCAATCTTTATCCATTAGAAAGCAATGAATGCTTGCAGTTAATTAAGTGAGACCAATTGTATACAAGTTATTGAAATTTGGACTCAGCAAGGCAAAAGTACTTACAGACCTATAATGACTTTCTCATGTAGCGTGGGAAATCAGAAATAATAGAACTGTCTTGTGGTTTCATAACGATCACGCTCATTTGTGGTTTTGATTTCATTCTAAACAAAGTTCATCCAATTGATTTGAAAGGAAAGGAAAGTGATTGATATAAGTTGCTTTGAATAAACACCAGGATGAGAAACCACGATGGGTGCTTTCGATTAATAGAAAGTTCTTTAGTTATCATGAAAACAAAAGCAAGGGAAGAAAAAAGAAATTAACCACTTTACTTCTCAAATGAACTATTAGACAGTTTGCCATCCTACAAATAGAATACAGCAAAAGCTCTAGAAAAGAGCACTGTTTCTCTCTTGAGCCTACATTTTCTATGCAACCTAGAGTTAGATATATCTCAGGTTTAGCCAAATTGATGTAGTAGTGAACAAATTGACGGTGATCTTTTTTTTCTTTCTTTTCTGTCCACGTGTGCAGTCATTTAGTGTATGAATCACTCACATTCAAAACTGGTCTCCTTTGTGGTTCTCCCTGTGTACACATGTTACTTCAGTGGTTCAAAGAAAAATAAACATGTTTGCTGTGAATTCATCTTTCACATGACACTTTCACTTGAATGCTGTGGTATATTGTCATGATCAATTAAAACAATAGAGTTAAGATAGAGAGCTAGTCAAACCATTCAGTTGATCATGTTTACACGATTAGATTAGAACTGTTCTTGGACATATTTTACGACTGTGAATTGTCCAAACATCAAGAAATGTTTCTATTACAAAAGTTCCTGCAATAGATCCCTCATTAGAATCAGTCTAGTGCAAAAACAACAAAAAAGAATTGCTTAAATACAGTTCATGGGATCGACTTTTAGCCCTCCTTTTATGATCTAAAAATGCCCTTTTTTTTTCATACATCAGAATCGACTCTTACTCCAATTTTTTTGTCAATCCAAAATAGAAAAAGATGTTAAGAAGAAATTAGAAACTTTGATCTTTAAAAGAGCATAGAAATTTCACCATTGCACATTTTCTCTTGTTTCATCAATTCATGGTTTTTGCAATGGAAACGTTACATGAAGCGACATTTGGTGTATTCGTAGGAACATACTTGCTGTGGAAATATGTAGATGTACAGTGTAGGATATCATGGTAGTGTTTACACCAAACTCCAGTATGCAGAGGAAGCGAAAGGTACCATGCTTTGGTAATAGAATGAGATGAAAGTCAGACAGGTATTCCCAGGAAGAAAGGATACCATTCTTCTTCATGGGTATAGTGAAAATATGATGTTTTTAGAAAGGAAAGACAACAATTTGCATTTCATTTGAAAAGATGTACGAGAACGAGAGGAATCTGTATGCAAGCTAGTGCTGTTCACACATGTAATCTTTGGCTAACCCTCATGAAAAAAAAAATTCATCCTAATCCCCTCATGTTTGCTTCCTCCCTCTGGAACTAATTGATCATTTGTATTCTACCATTCAATCATTACATCACTAACGACATGTACTGTATCCCACATACAAAGTCACACTGGCATATAATTATGTGATTTTCAGAACATAATCATTGTCCTGGGGGGTGTTTCACAAAGACTAAGATTGACTTAAGTTGGACTTGAATTATGGCAGGCTATTCATGCCACTGGTTGCTCTCAACATTGGTCTCTCAAGGGACGTCACAGAGAATCCGCATTTTTTTATACTTTATTATTGAAGAAAAAAAAACATCTAAAGATCATAATTTCGAAAGTTTTTCCCTTTAATTTCACATCTGGTTCAAGACTTTTTAAGGGCATAAATCGCCTGCCATAGTTCAAGTCTAACTTAAGTCGATCTTAGTCTTTGTGAAACATTCCCCTTTAGTGGTAGCCCTTCACATATCCCTTCCCCCTCTAGCCTAACCAATGTTTTACATTCTAAAAATTAAAAATTGAATTTATTTTTGTTGTCAAATATTTGGTCCAGTGATATACATTGCTGGAGCATGGACATGACATTCACATGTTGCTGAAGTTGTCTATTCTAAAACAATACTACCCTTTCCGGAGGACACAGTTGAAGCTTGAAACTGGTGCAATATATGACTCCATACACGGGAGGATGATTGGGAGGCCACAGACATGACCCCATATTTCTCCAGCCCTAATGCCTCAGTCATACCTTTGCGTATTCGGACTTGCGTATTGCTGCGTATTTATGGCAAGCCGTTTTAACATTTATTCCTATTTCTTGATATATATATATATATCAAGAAATTGGAATAAATAGGAATAAATGTTAAAACGGCTTGCCATAAATATGCAGCAATACGCAAGCCAAATACGCATAGGTGTGACTGAGGCATTACCCCTTGAAATGATTCTCAATCTGCCATTAAAGTTGGTTAGAATCGGCAAACATAAAACTGTGGTGTTGCGATATCATAGGTCATTATATTCTTTCACTTATATGAAATTAATATGAAATTTGTTTTTGAATTACGACCTTTAAAATACAAGCATATTCTGTGGAAACAGCTTATGATAGTATTCAAACTGTTTAGAATTGGGAATGAAAGTCCACAATTCCTATTGCGATAAACATACCTATTGCGATAAACATACTGGTACAATCAGGTATACATTTCCCAAACAAGGTTTTAAAGTCTCAATTTTTTTTCCCTTCTTCTTCCAGATTTCCCACTATTAGTATTAGCATACATTTTCATTCAATTATATAACAATTCATTCTCATTACATAATGTCAATCTCACCCCCCCCCCCCCTCATCTTCCATCTGACTACCCTCACCCCTCCCAGCCCCTTTCTATCCAGTGCCCCATCCCCAGTAATACATGCAGATACATGTAGGTATCTGTACATTGAATGATTTGCATTCATTAATTGTGTATACATATCAGTATTGATACCGCTGATATATTAAAGATAAAGTTGAGTTCTGGTCATGCGATTGCATTGTGAAAGAAAAGGTGTGGAATGGATCAGAAAAAGTTGATCATGTAGCATGTAAGTAGTGGTGTGTACTGCAAGGTTCTGGAGTCATCAAAATCATAATAAATTTGGCCCAGTCTTGGTAAAGTAACAAGCACTGTACACAGAAATATGTATATGGGACTACACAAATGTTGTCGGACCTACTTACAGTACATTGATTTCCTTATCTTTCTATGCTCATTACTCAGCCAGTATACATTTTCTACCAAAATTGTTTGGCAAATGACATTTATTTGTAATCTTGAACATTCAGTGTAAGTTTTGTTTGATTCTGTAAGAATTCATTTTCTTTTTTTTTTACCAGAACTCAAGTTTATCTTTAATAAGTCCGGCCCATGTATGCTTAAAGTGATGTTCACATATTTACACATGTATTTGAATATATTTTCAGTAAAATGTATTTCTAGTTTTAAAAGAAAAATTGTAAAGGAATTTCTCTGCCGTTTCATTGTAAGTCCTCAGTCCTCTACTGAGAGCCAGAAGGGTGTTACTTTGTTTACCTTTAAACAGAACTAACGTCCTTCTAGCTCTGAAACAGAGGATGTAACCATGTATGCAAAATTGATTCAAAATTATTGTTTTTTGTACTGTTACTTAGTTATGCATATGCTTATTGAAAGTTAATAGATTGTGTTTTTCAGTTGTTTCCCATGAAGCGAAATGAAAAAGAAAATGAAATGGCACGTGCTAAAACTTTGTTAATTAACACAAAAATATGATTTACATTAAGTGTTTAATGACGCATGGATTAATTATCCCATCTTTGCCCCCATTTTTAATGTAAAGTGTCCCCTCCTTACCACCCCCCTAAATAAAATTGTATGGTCCATATAATTATTCCTTGTTCCCAAATAACCCCCCCCCCCCCACGAGTGCCAAGTGTTTTACATTTTTCATTTATATTTTGCTCTTTTTCTTTTCCTCTCCCTCCCCGATCTCTTATTTCAACTTCCCTGACTGTTGTCTCCTTTTCCCATCCTCTCTTATTATTTTGCGATATGTTTGTTTATTTTTTGGTGTTGTGGTTGTATAGGCGAATGTGAAGAAGGTAAGCATGAGGAAATAACAATATATATTTGGCGTTGCCTTGTAACCTGCTGTATGCTGTGATTGTAGCTTGCTGCATGAAATGTACATGTACTTATACTTCTAATGATAATTCAGCTCCTAATGGTAACTCAACTAATAAAGATTAATTGGGGTATTCTAAAAATTAATATTAATGCTACTAATTCGGATAAGTTGAGGTATTCTAAACATTGTAATCAAATATTAGGATATAAAAACAGAGTCCTTTGATATGTGATTTTAATCCATTAACGTTTTGATTTCGGTGTACTAAAAGATTATATTAATTGAATCGTAGGAGATGAAAAGAAAGTCCTTTGATTAGTGACATCACCTTATTAATAACACCTATAGATTATGTACCTTGTAAAATAGTCGCTAGATAAAATGGTAAATTGCACACTATTTTGCCTACAGCTACCTGTATCGTAAACTCTTGAAACATTTCACTCATGTGTAGGGTCAAATTGGGGAATTTTGGAAGCTAACACAAGTGAGATATAGTACAAGAATAACAAGATCGTTTTAACTTAACTGATCTAGGACGTGAACTCTTTGGGTAGGTTAGGGCTGTTGGTGAAGTAATATGGAGCGTAGTTTTTGTGGTGCTAAATTGTTTAAAAGGAAAACATATTAGATAGTGGTTGGGATAGCAATAAAGTATTAAAAAATGACTAATCCATAAATTTCCGACAATTTTGCCTACAGCTCTCTGTATGCAAACACTCTTGAAACATTTCACTCATTTTATAGGGTCAAATTAGGGAATCTTGGAAGCTAACACAAGTGAAATTAGTACAAGATCATATACTTTACTGATCTAGGAGATGAATTCTTAGGGCAGGTTAGGGTTATTGATGAAGCAATATGGAGCATAGTTTTTGTGGCGCTAAATCTTTTAAAAGGAAAACATATTAGATCGTGGATGGGATAGCATTAAGGTATGATAATGACTAGTCCGTCATTGCCTTTATCTTATACTTACAGAAATTATTTACAATGTTGCACAGTAGAAAAGGGTTTTACATTAACTCTGGAACCTATTTCACAAAACGGGTCAGAAAATTGATAGTGATAATAGGGATTTAATATGTTTGGGGAAAGTGTTTGGGATTGTACAATTACATGTATTTAACTTATTCATATTACATGTACATGTATATCGTAAGTTCATTTGTACTTAAGTACAAAAGTATTAAAATGACTAATAACCTATTTTTTGAAAGTCGAAAAACTGTAGCAAATCAAAATACAATCAAAATCCAAAAGAAGAGTTGTCAACAAATGACATCATCCAAGAGGGGATCATATTTATTACTGGTATTGAACATGAATTGAACAAATGATATATCAGAATTGGTTTAATTCTAACATTAGCTTTAAAGATATCTCTGTGATCTTCAAAGTTGGAAATTTGCTTGCTCTTAGATTATTCTATTAGGGCACTTTTGTTGAGCATCGTCTTTGTGCAAATATTTATCCCTTCTACTATTCACTTTTTGATAATATTTAGTCTTTAGGAATACTTCCTCCGGATCTAAAGGTTTAGGTATTAATTTTCTTCTTTCCCTACTTATGCTTGGTGGCTCTTATATTATTTTGGCATTGTAGACTTGGTTGAGACGGTGTATTATAGTACGGTTTGTCTTCTTTATTTATTTTGTGATCTCAAGAAGCGGAAAGTCAATTTAAAAATGGGCCAATTGATGATATGTTTACTTTTCACATAGACCGAATGGGGCTAAAGTGTAGTTCAAAGTGCAAAGTATATACATGTACATGTTTTAAAGCTGCACTTATATAGTTTTCTAAGTACCTACGGTAGATGTACATATGTATACTGCACACATCCGTATATCTTGTATTTTCGAGTAAGAAAGAAAAAAATATGCTCTTAGTCTATGTTTGCACAGCCTGGCCCCATTTTCCCCCTTTTTTTCTAATTGTTTTCTTTTTGCTCTTCATCGTGGATATGAAATGGTTCATTAATCATGACAATCTAAATACATTGTGTATAATATGTAAATCTCAAATATTATTTACACAAATTTGAACCCTTAAAACTACTCTTGGAATGCAAGCAATTTTCCTTAAAATTAAAAAAAAAACCATGGTAGTAAAGAAAAGCCAAGTATGGCAGTCATTATTTAATCGGTTGAAGAGGCAGGTTTTTCAAGATCTGCCACACTGAAATTTAGCTAAAATAGCTTATTTACATCTATTTGAATACAGTACAGAGTGGATCATGTAGGGTTAGGGTTAGAGCTAGGATTAAGGTGTAGGTTTGTTGGCTTCTTGCTTCCTGTAAACTTGCTCTGTATTTATGCCTCTGCCCACCGGAGGCATTATTTTTTTTTGGTGTCCGTCCGTCCATACGTTTTTCCCGCTTTCTCGTCATCGCGATATCTCAAGAACCACTAGAGATATGAGGCTCAAATTTGTTAATGATATGTATCGCCATAGGAAGACAATCTGGTAAGATTTTGGATACATAGGTCAAAGGTCACAGAGGTCAATTTCTGAAATTACAGTTTTTAGCTTTGCTATTGTGATATCTTAACCACTAGAGATATGGGGTCAAACTTTAAGATAGTATGTATCATCATTGGAAGACGATCTGATTCGATTTTTGTTAAGTAGGTCAAAGGTCATAAAGGTCATTTTCTGAAATAAGAGGTTTAATCCTTGTTATCGCGATATCTAAACATGGTGACAGTATTACTATAGAAAAATGATCCAATTACATTTTGGGGCTAGTGGGTCAAGATCATAGTTGTCTGTTGACATTTCATTATAGACTTTTTGTTTTTATGTCATGAATAATTGTATCCATTTCCTATACTGAATTTAGGGTGTAGGCATATAGGAGACGTATTCGCATTTGCCTTGTTTCTTCTTTCTTCTTTGATTTCTTGGCTTCTACAAAGATTTGTTTGGCATTGGAAAATAATTTATCAGATATATATTTGTGATAGTGGCATGGTGCTGTATTGTCTTTAGCTTTGCTTTGTGGAGGAAGTTGTAATTGTTAAGCTGTTTGGTCTTGGGCATAATTATTTTGTTGTCATGTTTCTTTCTCAAAATCTTCTTTCTTATATAAATGTACCGTAGGAATAATATTTAATATATTGGTGATTGAGGGAAATTATTAACAGTTTGGTATTTGGCATATTATTTTAAGGGTTTATATTCAGGTTTGTGTTATTGGTTATATTTCAAGAAAAGTTTGTACGTTCTTATTTGAGTTGTGAGGTCTTTAAGATATAGAACTTGAACTTTTGTTATTGATTTTGTTTATCCGTAGATGTAATATTGGCCACTCTTCCAATTTATTTTTAGTCGCCTTAGAGGAGATAAGATAGAGAGAGAGAGAGGGGGAGGGAAAGAGGGGGGGGGGGGGAGGGAGAGGGAGAGAGTCAGAGAGAGAGAGTGATTTTTTTTTAAAGGAAGGGAGTCAATGTTTATAATTTTTATGAGGACCCTGGATGTTTGAGTGATTTTTTTTTAAGAAGTCATCACATTTTGATTTATTCTGATCTTTTAAAAAGTAATGAAAATGATTTATCTTTTGAATATATATATATATATATGTAAAGAAAGGATATATTCAATCTTTAAAGCATCCATTATTTCAATAATAATTGGTAAAAGAAACGGGGATAGCCTTTACCAATGGCTTTTAATTTTGTTTAGGTCACACTTATAATCGTAGAGAAGTGTTTATGTGTGTGTCCTATTTCATCTTTATGGAAGGAAAAACAGGGGAAGTAGAAAGAGAGAGAGACAGAGAGAGAAGAGGTTGGAGGGGATGAGAAATAAATGAAAAAGAGGGAGAGGAAAAGAAGATATATTCAAAGCATTGCAGCATTATCACACACCCTTCGCTTGAACAAGTACCCGTACATGTAACTAACACCAGGGCCTCATTTCACAAAACTTGTCATCGGTGACAAATGACAGTTTTTGTTATGAGCTACTGAAATCCTTGCTTCTGATTGGTTATCAGTAGACTTGTCACTGATTGTTGTCATTTGTCATTGAAAAAAGGCATTGTGAAACGGGTCCCAGCTTTGCAAGTTTCTTTTGCAAAGGTCATACCTATCTATACTTAGATGGTTACAAGTAAAAAAGCAATCAAATGTCAAATCTCCTTTAATAGTTCGAAAAACTGATTAAATAATCCTCTATTTTCTTTCTCTCTCTGTCGTATCTAGGTCCCAGGATGGAGCTGAGTATCTGTTATCCCTGGATCCTGTCATCGGTGCTTATCGTGTGCTGCTGCAATATCCCAACGTGCATTGCACTCTTCCTTAGCTGCAAAAAGAGGAAAAAGAACTATTCCCCGTCCAACTTGAACAGGTAAGACATAGTTGCATACTTTCGCAACCCTCCCCCCATCCGCCCAAATGACCATATCGGACGAGTTAAAACGAGTCTAATATTCTCTTAGCGAGATCAATATATTCTTGTATCACACGGAAACAAAGCGAAATAACAAAATTTGACTAACCTCAGTAAATATGGCTTTATTTTTGTGTGATATCGCCATGATATCGCCATGATATCGCCATGATATCGATATCGATAGTTGAAGTTCCTGGATGACTGAGCGATACGTAAACAATATTGGTCAGTCATCCGGGTACTGCACTAAAGATATTGAATACACTGATCTATTGTACCACTTGGTAGCCTTATATAGATAATAAAACACCATATCACAGACACTGAAAACACGTAGGGCCATACATCTCAGATTTAACAATGTTAAACAGTGCGTTTAATCTTTGATTTAAAAAAAAAAATTCATTCCTTAGGAATCGGGACGCATCTCAGAAGGTGCCGCTACGTTCCATGGAGCGGCTCAACTCAGAAGTAGACGAAGAAGCCGATGAACTGTGTCCCATGACGCAAACGGACAATGGCTCGCCTCACCGTTCCATTAATGAGAACTCGTTACACGAAAAGAAGAACGGACAGTCGTCAGCACCATTGAGGATACCCTCGACGGCTACACCCGTCCGGGGGACAACAGTTTCAGCATCGGAAGCATGATAGTGTGTGTGTGTAGCTAAATTTTTAAAGGTAGGTGCTGTGTATTGACAATTCTTTTTCGATATACAGTGCACAGTGCCAGGTCAGAGTTTGAAAGCAAAGTGGTATTTTTATATTTATAATAAGAGCCTTGAAAAGAAAGAGAGAAGGGGTTAATGCATGACATAACTGTATCCAGGATTCTCTCTGGGCTTGGGGCACATCTCTGACGAGCAAAAGGGGGAAAAATGGGGTGTCACTGTTATTCTTAAAGGGATTAGGTATCTTTGTCTCAGATTTTCAACAAAATCCTGGATTTAACTCATGCTGCAAATCCTAATTATAAACCTTTAGGCCAGTCAGGAATCCCATGACGTTTACAAGCCGATCGACCGTCTGATTATCAAGACACAGACACTGATACCACCTAGAGCCATGCATCTCAGATTTGGTATTGTAAAACGATGCCTTTAAATGATGGAGGATATGCACTCATTGTTCGAACCAATGAAAGAGTACAAACCTTTCACAATTGAACAAAAAGTGTTGAACACCTTGTGAATGGACTTATTTTATTATTACGGTACTTCAAAAATGTGATTCACTGATTTCTGTATACATGTATGTTCTTGTCAGTGAAATCAAACAATGACTCTAATCTATTTTGCATTTGTTGTGTTCATCTACAGAAACAGCATTCCAGAACTGAAATTCACCATCTTTCCCTGGTGCCTGAGTGCCGCCAACCGAGATGGCGAGGAAACCCCTTTTGCCTTCTTGATCGATCACAAACCCATTGTCACTGATTGTGCACAGTACTATATTACATGCACAGGTCAAGGCAGACATGTGTGACCTCCGCTAGAGGTCAGGGGTCAAAGGTCAGCATCCAGAGGCTGAGAGCAGGGCATCTGCATATGGGTGGAGAGGGATAATGATACAGCAGGATTTGAGTCTAAACAATGAGAAGTGCAAAATATTAAATGTTGTACTTGGCCTCCCAAATGGTACGAGTTGTGGATCACACCCACTCCATTTTATAAAAGAAAATTAAACCCTGACATGATATGATAATGAAAAATAGGCTTTAGAAATACCAAAGCTTCACTCTATTGAGATGCACTTAAAAAAAGATATACATGTAGGTTTAGGTTTCACCACATAACACCTATAAAGTAGTTGTGATGCATGTACTGCGCTTCCAAGAAAGAACTGTCTTGACTCAAGAATGCAAAGAGAAGGTCATTGGCTGCCTGAAAAAGGCCGTTACCACCAGCGACAATACGTACGGTAGGTCTTATGGCCTTCTTGCGGGCAGGCAGCGATGTTAAAGGGAGTGCAGCATGGCAAATACTGGTTAACGCCATCTACGTCTTCTTTTGGACAACTGTACGTAAACGAATGGACTTGATTAACCGTAGTCAGTGACTTAATCTCTACATGGTCAGCGTTTGTGAAAGAGACTGAAGTTCTCCTCACACTTCGGTTTCGCGTATGTTGCACGCACGCGATTGATGCGGTCGTGTCCTACGTAGTCGTATTATACCCGATTGGCCCCGAGTCAGGCCACGGGAAAGACATGTAGTCTCGCCAGGCTGCACTCCCTTTAATATTTGCACTCTTACATGTTGATGCTTGGCTGGGGGTACCACTGATCATAAGCTGCATAGAGACACCAGAGTTGCAGCAAACGCTTGAGGACTTGCTGATTGTGTACGGTACACCATGTGTCTCAGAATACTACGCTTCAGATACTGTCAGAAGCAATGCCAACTGTTGCTGAAAAAAAAGAGAAGAAATTGCCTTTCTATCTGTCTGTGATCTGGTCGTAGAGTGCAGAAAGAAGCATGAAGCCATGATGGTGACCCAATAGATTGAGAGTACTTGCAAGGTTATATTATGATAATGAAATCCCCCCCCCCCTTTTGTTTAATTATAGCACAAGTATCTTCTCAATGTAATTGAATCAAATTATAGCTTATGCTAATAGCTTTTTTTATTTTTTTATTTGTTGAAAGACTTTTTAATGTAATACTCCTGGGATATAATGATACTATTGTAATCTATATTGCCATTAAAATTGTCACTTCGACCTTTTGCAATTTTTTTCTTGCTCAAAATATAAGTGGAAGTCAATGTTTTATGTCAATCAGAAATCAAAATTTAATGAAAACAAAAATAATGAAAATATTGAAGATATGACATTAGCATGTAGATAAAGTTAATTTTACCACTTTAGTTCAAATTTTCTCATATATTTCCAAGTTTGCCCTTTTTCTGTTAACAGTGTCATTATATCTCAGGAGTATTAATTAGAAATGTAAAAAAAGTGACAATGGGGCATGATTTCAATGATAATTGATGGCCATACGGCAGTAATTTTGATTGAAAACATGTTATTCTGATATCCTATGTTTGTACACCATTTCCTAGTACATTAAAGCTTGCCAGTGTATAGGAATAATCCACCATGCCAGAACTAACCATTGGGTTTCTCTGATAATATTTGTTGGATGAAAATAATATATTGTCCGTACTAAACCTTGTAAAGCAAGAATAAGATGTGAAAAATTATTTCATTATGTATATATATTATGTTTGGCAAAATTTTATCGGTACTGCATTCTTTTTTTGTAGAAAAATTGCAATTTGTAATTAATAAAAACGGGGTGTACATAGGAATCGCTGTATACTATGATTGTGTACATAGATATATAAATTTTGGTTATTTATTTCAGTTTTGAAGTTATCGATGCATTTACAGTTAAGTTTGCCAAATTCCATGTTTTTTCTTTTCAATTTTAAAGTGCTAAACAGTGCTTGGTCATTTTCTTCCACAGCACTGTGTTTTAATTGATAGGAAAGTGTGGTAAATAATATACACTTTTTGGAAAGAATGCACTATGAACTATACATATTTTACCCAGCACTGTTATTATACAATCCATTCTATTATTAGTAATCAAACAATGTTTTACTCTTGTGTCCAAGCATCTGTCCCATGGACTATTACACTAGAGGGATGTTTCACAAAGATCCTAAGTCGAACTTAACTCTAAGTTTGACTTAACAATTATGGATAGCCATTAGCATCTTTGAAAATGTTTTGTAAAAGTGATTGTAAAAGGCATAAAATGTTGATTAAAATCATTCATATATTCTATTATCAAGGAGATTTCATGTTCTTGATGTGGAATTTATGAAAAGTCCAAAATACTTTAATTTTTGCTTTTGAATATATTTTATTTTAAGGCTACAAATGGCTCCCCATAATGTTTAAGTCCAACTTAGAGTTAAGTTTGACTTAAGATCTTTGTGAAACACCCCCCCCCCCCCCCGAACTACTATCCTGTGAAATGCTACCCCCAAATGACTATTCCTGCACTACTTGCACTACTACTTCTACTACCCTCAATCACCATTAGTTACTACCTGTAGGTGATTAACTAATCCCCTAAGGTAACTAGTTTAATAGGGGTAGTCAGGGGGTGGGGGGTGGGGTGCTAGGAGGGTTGGTAGTCCAACTCCAATGCATGGTTTTCCTAGAATCACCCTATCCTGTTAAACGCAAGATTATGTGAAATGAACAAAAACAATAAGTTTTATCGTCATTTTCCATCCGAACAGAAGAATTTGTATGGCATATCTTTATGTATGTATGTATGTGTGTTTACATCGATGTATGATATTTATTTCTGTTTGTTTATAATGTACATGTAAACCACTCATTGTGCAATGATTTTATACCCTTAGTATGTTAAAATAGAAAATCAGTTTGAAGTATCTGATTGGTTTACTAAAGTAGAATTTTTTTTTCAAAGAAAGAAATATGGCAAATGTACATGTTTATATTGGAATCCATGCCTTTGTTGTATTTCAATTATTCTGCATTTTAAGTATACTGGCATATAAGATTGGTAAGTGGTCTGTGTACGTAAGTGTTTAATCCAAAGGGGGCATGAATTTTCAAGGTTTCAATGTCTTAAGAGAAATTTCATTTTTTGTTTATAGGGGGAGGGTAGGTCAGAAGAAAATATTTTAATCATTCCCTTGTTCAAAGGTTTGTTACAAAGAGCAAATCAAATGTAAAGGTGTAAAGCAGCTGGACATTCAGCATCTCTAAAAAAAATTGCTTTAAATAAAGTAAAAATATATTTTTTCTTGAAATTGATGTTAGAAATTGTTTAATCTTGGTGAGGTTAAGTAAAATTTACATCATTCCTTTTAACCGATTGTTAAATGTTTCTACCGGGTAGTTTAAAAACAGCATTGAAATTGGTTGTGATGTATGAAACAGAATTTATGGATTCAATACCATTTTCAAATACTTCATTTAACTGGTAGTAAACGTACACATTTCGTCTTGTTGGTGTGATTAGTTTTCTTCATCTATTAAATGATTTTTTAATTTTTTTTTATGGGATGAAGTAGTTATACAATACTCATAACCACTGACCATAATACTGAATGTTTACCTTCAATTATAGGTGTCGCTCGAGTGTTACAACTTAAACTATATGTTGCCAATGATTTCTTTCTCTGAAAATAAAAAGTAAAGGTAGTTGAAATTAGAGAATATAGGCTAGAATTGAGTGTAAATATGCAGCAGACTTGTTTGTGTATACATTGACCAAAATCAAACTATATGTATATTTTTGTAAAAACCTGCTATCTTCCATCTTTGATTCTTCTTTCTCTTCTTCGTGTGTCCTCCTAATTTTCATGATCTCTTCTTTCCTCTTTGTCAAAGCAAAGTGAACAATTTTATTTGTTTGAAAAGAATATGCAAGTTAAATAATGCTGTTGAAAAAATTATGTAGTTGGTAGTTGAACTTGGGATCATATTCGAAGTTGTAAGTTTGAATTGGCAATGTTTTTAATGTGTGGACTGAATTTTAATGTTGCATCATGCAGTTATTATTTCCATTAACTTTGTGATGATTCTCGAATCTTTAAGATGATCTTGAGTTGATTAATGTCCCTTGGAAAGGCTGTAAAGCACTTGGATCTTACAAGCCGTAAAGCACATGTACATGTACACACGCAGTCGGTCTAAGCAACTGTACTGTAGGACAATAATGCACCAATAAGAGAAATATCTTATATATATAGTCAAGTATGTAAGTGTCTGCTTCAATAATGTAGATTACTTAATCATATGGAAATGTTAAATTAAAGTAACTAGCATTCAAAGAAGCAAAGTAGCGACACAAAAAATACATCATATTTCTTTAGGATACAACATTTTTCTGAATTGTCTATCATCGGTGCAACTACAAATGCACTTGTTGCTAGATTTTGAATTTCTTCATTGCTCCCAATTGTTCATTTATCTGTTAACCTAAAGGCAGTGAGCATATAATATATAGCATTAAATTCCTCTCTTCTGTAGCATTTCTGAAAAGCAAAATGATTCTACTCCCACTGTAATCATTCAATATGTTTTTTATTGCCTTGTCAATTTTAGGTAAAATAACATTCCACATTGATTGAAATGGAACAAGATGACACTTTTTTGTTATGTAAGAAAAACAATATATTACAGACAAAAGTTGTAGATTTTCTTGCATAAGGTATTTTGTTTGGAAAATTTAACATCCACATTATGAGTACCGGTACTAGGATCGCTACAGTAATATATTTAATTATTTTTTTTTAGGCACTTGATATCATTATTTAATGTACAATCTTCAGATTTGTTTAAGTGTGTGATGAAATGGTAGTTGGAAGTTATAAACCATTCCAGATTTCCCTTGGACATTTATTGTTTTAACCTTCACCTGAGTTATGTAGCAAAATGGAGGGAAAAAAAGGGAATATTACCTGATGTTTAATGTGCTTAAGAGAGGCACTCACCATAAAATAATTAAGAAATGATGTGCTTTTATGCCGTTTTGCTATTTTTTATCATATTTGAAGATGTCTTAATAGTGTAGGATACATGTATACCTTCTCATTTGTCCAATTTAAATTGTGAAAGATGAAACATATTTGAATGACTGACCATAATTATACCGCGTTTAAAAAAGATTAAGAGCTATTACCTTAATACGCAAGTGAAGATTTTGTGATAAATTGAATTTTTCCAAGACCCTTCTTTTAATACATCTTTATTGAAGAGGTTCGCTTTATATTAGATTAAGGAACGCAAGTGTCTTTTAGAATTTCTATTATACTACCTTGAGAGTAAGAAATTAGGATGCCTTTTATTAATGAGCTAATGTTAACCTCTATAGATACCCACTTTCCATCTTTTTGTAATAAATCATCGTTTTAATTTCAATCCCGTATCGTCTTTTCTTTTTTAATGAGAATTTTAATCCTCATATGTATTGTCAGTAGATTCTTTTTTTATTAATGAGCTAATGTGAACCTCTATAGATACCCACTTTCTGTAATGAATCGTTGTTTTAATTTCAATCCTGTATCATCATTTCTTTTTTATTGAGAATTTTTAATCCTTGATGTATTGTCAGTAGATTCAGTCAAATCAAGCTGCAGCTAAAAGAAAACAAAACTATGTGAGGTTGTGTGTTAACTGCTGGGCGTTTAAGATATTGGTATGTATGCAAATTAAACAATTGGAGAGATGATGTATCCTTCCGTATGTATGTGGTATTTGTTTTGTTGCGAATTTTTCCTCATGAGGAAATGCTGTAAGAATTTAAGTGATGTGTAATAAATACATTCTGAATGTATGCCTAAGCAATAACCAAGTTGTTTTAGATTGCATTATCACTTTTTCAGCTGTTTGTGTATGTTTTAATGAGTAATGGACAGAGAGAAAAAGGAGACAAGAAGAAAAAAGAGGGGGAGGGAGAGGGGAGACAAGAGAAGAGAATGGGAGAGGGAGAGAGAGAGAGGATGAGACAAAAGGTCAGAAAAGAAGAAGAAAAAAAGGACAGTGGGAGAGGAAACTGGAAATTAATAAAATATATATACCTGTATATATTTTTTGAAAGACAAATGGACATATAAGAGACCTAAAAGCAGAAAAGAAGGAAGGAGATATCTAATGGGATGAAAACCATAATCCATACATGTATGCTAAACAAATTAAACCTGAAGCTGGGTTAAAGCTTGAATCTTACTAAAGCAGAGCTTAACCAAAACAGAGACAATTTCACTATGGACATTAATAATACATAACATTTATCAGGCGCTTATACCATTGTCTCAACTTTAGCCAAGAGTAGACTTCTGGGCATCTTTTCACAAAAACCATCAACAGTACAAGTTTGCCGACATCCCTTTTGAACGTCTGTTCATTGTAAAGTACGCGTTTTAATGCGATTTAGGGGTAGTTGGGACGTTTTCCCGAAATGCTGCCTGTCTCTTCAGGTTAACCCAGCTTTGGGTTTAAATGTCAATAGAAAACTTGAAACCTCATTAACATATAGTGGCAGGCGGCACTAATATCCATATTATTTGCAGGCATATTTAATCCTTTTATAATTATCATAGATAAGTGACGTTATAGACATAAACTAGTTTTGAAGTGTTTCTGGTTAACTTCAGATATCATCCAAAATTCACACAATTTTTTTTTCTTTCTTTTTCTAATTAAATTACAAAAAAATAATCAGTGACAAAAAAGAGGAACACAACCATCTTTTATATAAATTCCAATATGCATATTGTTTAATTATAGCATACATTTACATGATTAATAACATCACACTTAATGACTTATTAATGATTAAATGATAAAAACCAACAAAAATGGTGGTAATTATGAATTATCTTGGGTCAAAGCAACAACTGCTAATCAACATTTCAAGAAACAAGACAAAGTCCTGTAGAGAAATACCATATTTTTTTTTTTTTTTACAAATTACATGTGAATACTAAAATATGTACAGAAGAATGTTATCTTTCAAATGACATACGGTAAAGAATGGAAAGTTTAAATCCTGTTTCATGAATAAAGCAGAACAGCGCATTATTGTTACAATATGTTAGAATAAAACAAGTACATGTAACACTACAGTACGTTCCCCAAAAATCTAGGCATCTAAGAAAACACAACATTTGTTTTTTGTTTTTAGACCATTATAGGTGTGTTCATAGAATATTGAAACTTATGGAAATACAGTTTGACCATTTACCAATATTTTCTTTTTTACTTTGAACAATGTTGCCATGACCACATACTGTACAGGCATTAATGAAATACCCATGTATTACATTATCGGTAAGACCTAAAAAAAAAAAGATGTTGTATTGCCCTTGCGACCGACCCCAAAATCTTGAAATCTACGGTCTGCTTTAAAAAAAAAAAAAAAAAAAAAACAGAGAAATATCAGCCCAAAGAGGGAGTAAAAAAAAGAAGAAAAGATTTCCGACCGACCGACCTATGTTTTGGCACCTAAAGGGCAATACAACATCTTTTTTTAAAGGCCTAATGCAGCTACAGTATATCAACAAGTTTGCATTGATTATAACTGATCAGAGCATCAACAGTTCTAAAATTCAGTTTAATTTTCTTTTTGATATATATGTGAACATTGAAAACTCCATTTGAAGGTACCCTATTTCCTATCAACACATCATCGCCTGTCAATACCGGGTATTCAGAATTCAGGTAGCATCTACTTCATGTTGCTGGGCAATCACATGGAACAGTCAAATGCACCCAATATATATATACATGGAGAGATTGAATTTCTATACAAATCCAAGATAGTCTACTATATAGTTTAGAATCCTAATTTTCAAAATATATAAAGCTTTCTTGTGACATTTTTTGTTCCCAATAAAGACTTTCCTTAAGTTTCCACAGTGTCTTGAGAATTTCCTGTGTTAACAGGTTCTGTTTCTTGGTTACACATATCCAAGTCTATCTGTGTTTCATCGTCATCATCGTCATCATCCTCAATGACTCTCTTCTTGCTTTTCAATACGTTATACGACTGATCGTCCGCTTGTGAATCATTCACGATTTGTGTTTTGACTTGTTCCGTCATTTGATTCCAGATCTCTCCAGAATCGTCATCATTAATGACTTCATCCAGGCTGTTGCTGTTTGATGTTTCCTGCGACGTCAGCAAAGAGTTGGGGTCTGTGGGTTTATGAGAAAGAACCGGTTCTGTCATCTGATTGCAAATGTCATTCTCAACTTCAGCATTTTGGGGATCCTTCTTTTTATCATCATCATCCTCCTCAGCAACAACATCCGGCTCTTCCTCACCATCAATTCTCACGCTCTTTTGTGACCCTGTCAATGATCTGGATGCAGAAGTTTCCTCTGGACCGTCTTTGGGTGGCTTAGGAGAGAGAAGCTCTGTCATCTTGTTGGAGTCTTCCGCCTCCATCTCATCATCACTCTCATCGTCTTCAATAACTCTCCTCTTCTTGGCTCCCTTGGATTGCATCACCTGCGATGCAGCTGTCTGGGAGTCTTTGACCATCTCCATCACATCATCATCATCATCACTGTCATCATCAATAACTCTCTTGTTCCTCCTGCCTCTTTTAGGTGCCTCATCCTGTGACCCTACAAACTGCGAGTCTTTCGCCGTCTTCATCTCCTCAGCATCGCTTTCATCCTCAATTATTCCCTCGTTCTTGTTGCTCTTCTTGGCTACTTTGGGCGTCGTCTCTTGTGATCTGCTCATCTGGGACTGCGTCGACACCGGCTGGGTCATCTGATTCCACATCTCGTTCTCCATCTCCGCTTCATCCGCATCAATCTCCACCTCTCCGGAAGCTGCTCCTTTCTGCGAAGCCTTCTTATCCTTCGTCCCCCCTGTCATCTGACTCTCCCACATCTCCCTCTCCATCTCGTCCTCATCCGAATCAATCCCATCATCATCTTCTACCCTTGTCTTGGCCTTTCCAGTTCCAAAGAGGTCATGTATCTCTGCTTCATTGAGACCATCAGACTGGGAGGCTGCTGGCTTTTGGCTACTCTTCGCTTCCTTTTGCTTGTTGAGTCGACGTTCCATAGCAAGTCGCTTGTTGAGCTCGATGCGTTCTCTTTGCTCATCTGACATGGAAACCTGGAGGTATCAGTGGGAAAGGAAATTGAATTAATCAAAAGTACATCAATATTAATTTCTAGGAACAGCCATTTATAAGCAGCAAGTATGGCTTGCATGTAAATCTAAGTCATACATTTTGAGCAACTGATTTTGCATTATTCATATCACCTGTTTGAAAGGAGGGCATAAACTCATATTGTTTTTAACAGATTTCATGCCCTTCTGGCTCCTAACAGACATTGTAATAACAAACTGTATAAATGCAACTGTTTCTCTATTCTCTAATAAACTCCCGCCTACATTTCATTCGTTGTCTATTAAATTGACCTTCTAGTCATTTCTTCCATTTATTTGTAATTTGACCAAATGTCCTTAAACACCCTGAAAACAAACCAAAATCTAATAAATTATCCTTTTATTCTTATACATACTTGATCCAAAATTGGTTGAAATATGTTTAATGAAGTGACACTACGATATCACTGTAACAATAAGTGGAACTGACTGATAAATGGACAACCAAAATAATGTCATGTCTCTTATACCATCTGCAATGGCAGAGGCATACAATTTACAAAGTTTGTCCATCGCAAGAGACTTTGAAAGATGCAGGATAATGATACAGAAAACTTTCATTGGTTGGGGTAACCATTACTAAAATTGATTTTCTGGTCAAGAAAGGTGAAAAAAGAATCCATCTGGTGAATAAGGATTAATTGTTCACTGAATGGGGACTCTGGCTATTCATTGCCATCCATCTTCGCTCCAGTGATCACGAGGGAAAGCAAGAAACTGTGTGAATCATCACTTGGCTTCAGAGAGTCCACAGGAGTGAACGAAAGCTTGGGGAACTAAAGTTTAAGGTTGGTAGAAGCTTAAACTGCATGCAGGATGATGTGTGATAAAACATCTCATTACATTCTAAGCCGATCCCATGAATGGGAAACAGATTCTTTACCTTTGGTGTATTGATGGTGCTAGGGGGCTGCTGGGTGCCTGGGAAGCTAGGCGCTGGGAAATCATCCCCAAGACCAGTCGCTGCTTCACCATCTTCTCCTTCAATAACATCTACACAAGAAATCAGAAGATAAATATTGAATAGAGGCCTCACACTGGGTTAGTAAATACATGTATCTTTAATATACCCCTCTCTCTTTCTCTGCTATCACTATCATCTGAACTGCTAATAAAATGTCTTTAGCATATGACTACAGTTTGATTGAAGGTTCATCTATTCAGCAACATGTTTAAAAGTTAACCTCATTATTGTTCTCAACATCAAAACAAAAAAGCTGTATATATAAAAACTAAACAAAAAAAATATATTTGAAATCGAGAACTGTGTGTTCAGAATACTATCGTATGTATTTCTATCGTATGTATTACCTTCAGTGGTCACTTAGTTGGAACAATGAATTATATCCTCAATTTGTTTTCTTCTTCATACTAGCAAAATAAATGGTGGCCAGAGGACTATTCAAAAACCTAGTATTAATGCAACAAAATCTATGAGACAGAATTGGACAATGTAATTTCATATTGATTGTTTTCTATAGATAAATTGATTATACCTAATTATCTATACTAAGTGGCTATCTCAAATTGGATAAAATTGCTATACCAATTCTGCCTTGTTCCAATTCATCAATGTTTCCCTTGCACACTCATTGGACAGGTGTGCAAAATAGACCAGTATATTCAAATGTATGGATGTTTCATTCATGGAGACCTAGTGACAAGTTAATGAATGAAAGTTAATACTCGGAATAGTCGACATATATACTCATGGCTATGTCGGGCAAGCCTCTGGCAAGCTTTTGGGCCGTCAAGAACAATCTGTTTGAAAAGTATGCATAAATTTGAATATGTTAGTAAACTGGTCTATAAATTAATAAAGTTTTGGAAGAGTTTTTATCAGCAAATATTCACCTTCTCCTCTGGTGACAAAGTCTTCATCCAATAAGGGCATATCAAGCCGAATCTTTCGTATGCATGTCTGTAAGAAAAGAGAAGAGAGGTAGAAACAATAGTATGTAATTGCTGACAATATTTTTGTGTGCATGATGCATCTAGATAGTCTAACAACAATTACTCATATCAGTTTTTTCTTCTTCAGAGAGTACTACAAGCTACTGTATATAAAGAATAACTCTTAGATTATCCATCTGGAAATATAAATTCTGTTTACCCGAGTAAACTACAAGAGTTTCCTTTGTAACTTCTCAATTACTTTTCATTTGGAAATTTTATGAAGATGAACAGAACGTAAATTATGAATTTTGAGCTGGGAATTTTCGTTATGAGTTATAAGCAAGCAATCTACAGGTAGTAGAAATAACAGATAAGTACCTGGGCCTAATATATCAATCAAATCAACATCTAACATGGGATTCCTCCAAATGCAGGCATTTTCAAGCAAAACATCATGCAGAGCTTGTATTCCTGCCCACCATGTGTAAAACAAAATAAAAATTATACCTGCACGGGCTTCTTGCTACCCAGCTTCTCAATGCGCTCGATCACATCATCAAAAGGCATCTTGGGAAAAAGACGATGCGCCCAGTGCTCCATGACCCTCATCAGGCGATCGAGGTCAGATGCCTCATGACCTTTGCCCTTGAACTTGACCTTTTCAAAGTGTTTCACCAGAATAGGGAGTCCCCTGTCACCAGTCAGCCTGAAAAAGAAGGAAGAAATATTTCAGTGATGAGGGAAAGGGTTCATGGGTGATGCAGAAACAGTGGTTAAAATAAAGAACTTTCTATGTAATGCCCTCTGAGAAATAAACAGTGACCTCTCTATACTGATTTTTGAATATATATGTCCATAAATATGAAAAACTGTGTATCAAGATTGGTTTCAATTTTTCAAAGAATGTTTGCAGAAAAAGAGGTTCTGTCCTACAACATATTGATTTTCAATCATACTGCAGCTCCAAATTGCAAAATGCTGTCGACAATCACAAATATGAGCAGCTCTAAATTACAAAATGCTATCCAGTGTCCATAATTAGGAATACGAGCAGCACCAAAATGCAAAATACATTTGTCTGTGTTAAAAAAGGGACTGACATCAAATGCTCTGATCAATAGAGCCTAGTTTCACGACTCATGTATGGTAAAGCACACCTTGCCATTATTTCACATTCTGATTGGATCTTATTACCTAGCACCTACTCTCCCTTCCCTTCCAGAGCCCCAAATTATATATCGAGGGGTCAGTGACACAAAGATGTAACTCCATTTTGGCCATTTTGAGAAAAAGTGGTTGATGTGTCACCTTAATGAGTTGAGTGAAGTCTATGTTTCACTAGCCATTGATTTCAATGAGGTGTTGGGTGGAGTTAAGTCTACCGTATGTATTTCCTGGAAAGCCCACAACTTTCTGAACATTTTGATATCAAATACTCATTTGGGCAAAATATGGAGTTACATCTTTGTGTCACTGAACGCTCCATATCTTCCCTCTGGTTCTGACAATATATTATGTAATCACCTGGTTGCGTCCAGCTTAGGGATTGGTTTCCTGTTGACCACCCTCTTACCGACAGCATCAGCTCCTTCTTCAGCTCCTGCAGGATCCAGCAGGGTGTCCAGGAGCCCTGAAGTCATTTTAAAAGAAATGAGAAAATACAGAGTTATAGCTAGGTATTAAGGTACTTCATTTATTATCTTATCTTGTGTTTCCCTTTTATGTGTTTTTATGTTGCATATTATATCTCGTTTTCTTAAAGGTTTTTTTGTTGGCCACTGCCTTCCTAACTTTTTATAATTCATCTATATTTATTGTCATACATTTGTCTGTTTATATTTATATATGTATTTTTTATCTGTTGATCTCTTGACATCATATAACGACACAGTGAATAAAGTAATAAACAGCACGATAGTTGCTACTAGAGAGGTGGTTTAGGACCCCTGAGCGTTGCAGGTGCATTTTCCTCTGACATAACCAATTCCAACGTACAGTAATCCTCTGATTTTGGCATGTCATGGTTTCCCACTTTCCTGTCATTTCAGTTTAAAATCAGATCAGGATAGGTCCTCACACAGACAAAAGGCTTGATTTGTCTTAAGTTGTTTGCAATTAAAAAAAAACAATTTCGAATTTTTTAAATATATTATAATTTATAATAGATAACTTTGAGCAAAAAAGGAAATAAGAAAAATCATGCCAATCAATTACTGTTCACTTCGATAAAGTTGACATAATCAAGACATAAAAGATTATCTATATTTGTGAGGTCTTACTCTCTAGTCTAGGCCTATCTTCATCAAGAAGTCAGCCTATTTTGTTCAGAAATTGTTTGCACTTCATAGTGGCAGTGCAATTCAACTGACAAAAATATTAAAGGGTAAGTCCGACCTATTTGCAATTTGAAATGAATACAAATATAAAAATTGAACAAACAAAACAGTGAAAGGTTCAACAAAATTGGACAAAAAATAAGAAAGTTATGGAATTTTAGATTTTTAAAGTCAGTAGCACTTTTGTCATCAGTTGTTCTATGTTGATGCAAGTAAAAATAAAGAATCATAGAATGACCTACATTGTAACTAAGACCCTCATGCCTTACTAATGCCCCAACATGGTACCTTCATTACGCTGTCCACTGGTGTTGAGAAAGTTCTCTCTGTCATCATCCTCGTCTAATGCAGGGAGTCTCGTCACAGCAGGAAGGTCATCATCATCCTCCTCACCAAAGCTATCAAGTTCAAGGTTGATTGATGTCTCCATGTCTGATGCTGGCTGGCTGAAATGAGTTTAAAAACAAAAATAAAACAAACTGATCACATTGACATTCCGACATTCAATTCACAAGGTGCTTGCAAATTAAGAGTCATACTAGGTCATAGCGGATAGTAGACCGAATTTTCCGTCTCTTTCGTTCGTTAGCCTCTTATTGGGGTAGGGTCGGCCGGCTCTCTCTTTAGAGACGGAAACCGTCTATACACATTCCCTTGATAACGCCACGGCCATTTCAGGTCGTAGCGTTTTGCCCCCCAAATCCCCCAAAATGTCATTTTACCTCGTGCATTTTATATTGTAAATTAGGCCTAGGCTATAATAAATCAGTTCCACTTACCAACTTGACTGAAATAATCAGTTTAATAGTCCCTTTTTAGGAATTTATGGGTCAAAATCGAAATCCATGTTGAAAAAGATTTTCAAAATGGATTTCGATTTTGACCCATAATTTCCTAAAAAGGGACTATTAAACTGATTTTTTCAGTCAAGTTGGTAAGTGGAACTGATTTATTATAGCCTAGGCCTAATTTACATGTGGATATGCACGAGGTAAAATGACATTTGGGGGATTTTGGGGGCAAAACGCTACGACCTGAAATGGCCGTGGCGTTATCAAGGGAATGTGTATAGACGGTTTCCGTCTCTAAAGAGAGAGCCGACCCTACCCCAATAAGAGGCTAACGAACGAAAGAGACGGAAAATTCGGTCTAAGCGGATAGGCCCTACCGCCTACAGGTCTAGATCTACTCTATTCGGCGCTAGTGTAGTTCCGTATCCGTTTTTTTAGCAGTCTCATATCCATTCTTAGCAAAGGAATTTTAGCCCAATTTTTACTAGTTTTAATCATAGACCTCTAATCATATATTGAATTTTGCACCTGAATTTGGATCACATCCAACATCGGGAAGCCTCCGTTTGGGGCTTCGATGTCGACGTCGTCGCTCAGTACCGTCTCCGCGCCTATAGCTTTGCAACTCAAACTGAAGCTATCAGTCTAAAATTATGCAAGCTTCTCGTATAGTTTATGGTATCGTGCATGTGCGTAATACCATAAAGCATACGCGAAGTTTGCTTAATTTTAGACTGATAGCTTCAGTTTGAGTTGCAGAGCTATGCGGAGACGGTACTGAGCGACGACGTTGACATATAAACGGAGGCTTCCCGATGTCGGATGTGATCTAATTCTAAATTCAGGTGGAAAATGCAATAGGGTCTATATGATTATGATTAAAATTAGTAAAATATTGGGCTAAAATTCCTTTGCTAAGAATCGATATTAAACTGCTAAAAAATTCAACAACAAAAACGGATACGGAACTACACTAGCGCCCTAACCTATATTCTTGTTCCTGTTATGTTGTGACGTGATTCGTCTGTCATGCCATGAATTTGGATTATATTAGGGAACCACCAAATTCCAAAGCCAGTCAATAATGAAAATAATTTACTTCAACTTCAAAGCTCACAGACACAGTGCACAGCTCACAACGCCGGCCGCGTTATTTTTTTATGCGGCACAGATTGGGGCTTTTTTAAAAAAGGGGTCTTGATTTACAGACTAATAGTGGTCGTGTGCGTACTAGTTGTAGAGGTCTGTTTTTAATAGTGTTACATGTAATCCACTACCGTATGGAAAATCATTACATCTACTATTAAAATGCAATTGAAAATCTGAAGAGGAGGCAGCATGTCAACAAGGAGAACATCACAATAATTAGTCAATAAAACTTAATTAACTTAAACGAAGAGGAATGTTATCTAAACACATAGTTCGCGATGGATATTCAAACTTCTTCGCAGCGCTAATGCGCTAGCGAACATGCCTAGTCTCACGTACGTGCAGACATTATTCAGAAGGGAAAGAACGTACTTCCCATAGGCTCAACACGTACCATGCCCCAATCTGTGCCGCATAAAAAAATAACGCGCCCCGGCCGCGCCGCGCCCAGTGGAGTGCAGCGGCTTGCCAGCGCCAGGCCGCCGAAGATCATGCAGGGGAAGCAAGCTCGGCCACCGCTGCAGCTCGTGACGCACCTCCACGGCCACGGCGGCATAAACAGACATCGTCTTCAATATGACTTGACTGACTTGATCTCAGATAAGTTTATATAATACAATCCTACTAATCACGAGATAGATAATTGGGCATGCCGATAATTGTTACTCCAACAAATTTATGTGACTTAGACTGCAACAGAGGCTTAAAAATACGGACATTTTTACCTGTTGTAGACGATGTTTTCTTTCTTGAAATTACGCGCGCTCGAAGACTTTGTATGGTGACCAAAATAGAAAAACAAAAAGGGAAAAATGCCAGGAGTCACGTTCAGCTCGAGGAGTAGATTGAAGAGAAGAAGAAGAAGAAGAAGAAGAAGAAGAAGAAGAAGAAGAAGAAGAAGAAGAAGAAGAAGAAGAAGAAGAAGAAGAAGAAGAAGAAGAAGAAGAAGAAGAAGAAGAAGAAGAAGAAGAAGAAGAAGAAGAAGAAGAAGAAGAAGAAGAAGAAGAAGAAGAAGAAGAAGAAGAAGAAGAAGAAGAAGAAGAAGAAGAAGAAGAAGAAGAAGAAGAAGAAGAAGAAGAAGAAGAAGAAGAAGAAGAAGAAGAAGAAGAAGAAGAAGAAGAAGAAGAAGAAGAAGAAGAAGAAGAAGAAGAAGAAGGAGAAGAAGAAGAAGAAGAAGAAGGAGAAGGAGAAGAAGAAGAAGAAGAAGAAGAAGAGGAAGAGGAAGAGGAAGAAGAGGAAGAGGAAGAGGAAGAGGAAGAGGAAGAGGAAGAGGAAGAGGAAGAAGAAGAAGAAGAAGAAGAAGAAAAAGAAGGAGAAGAAGAAGAGATTTAGTTTTACTCATAATCATTTTTGTAAAATGAAGTTTTGGACTTTTGCAGTATATTGTACCACGTATACTTGACATTAAAAGAACCATTAACGATCGGGGGAAAGATTCTTACACTCATGCTACGTGCCTCTAGCCTGTTCAACTTCAAGAGGCCAGAATCATAATCACCGTCTCTCCTCTCACTATCCAGAAATTGTTTTTCTATATACTTTCCCCTTCATGCGCCCACTTTAATGATGATAATTTAATAATGATTTTGTTCAAGGCATAAGCAGAGGGGGGGGGGGGTAATAGATGATTCAGTATACCTATTTGAAAGATTGACAAATGGGAAGAAAAAAATGATAAATCTATAGATTTAGCATGAATTGAAAGAGATTAAAATAAGATCAATTATTCTATTACTTTAAATATCCACTATACATTGTTTTAATAGAAATAAGTCTGAGTGAAATCCAATTCATGGTGCTATATTTATGAAGGCAGTGGTCTTAAAAAATTAAAAAGAAATAACAGCATTTTATGTGAAGGTTCAACAAGCACTAACAAACTGAAGAAGAAAAACAATTGGGAAAAGGAAAGAAAATAAACAATAAAAACAATAAATATCCAGGTGATCTTCTTTTTTTTTTGGGGGGGGGGGGTATGACATGTTAGGCAAATGGGGCATTGCACTTTACTACTAAAATATATAAGCACATTCAATATTAAGAGACAAATACTATACAAAAAGTAGTTTGTAAAATGTTTATTTTTCTCAAAATACCCATCACCAAATTTGTTTAAAGCACAATATTGCAAAACATATTTATATGCATAACATAATAATCAAAGAAGTCAACTCAGCACTAAAAAACAAAATAATGAAATGTAAAAACTGCACAATTGTTCATTTATGCTACATCATTGTTCTTCTGTGATCTGATAATTAACTGAAATATCAATTTACTGTACCTTTGTTCTTTATTTTTTTCTCTAAGAGGATATATGAAAGGAGAGGACATAAACTGATCTATACTTTCTGGTATTTATATTGCTGTAGTTATTAAACATCTTTATTAGAAGGAGCATGACTATGTGGTAATATAATGATGATGTCCTTTACATTGAACAGCTACAAGAAAAACAAGGAGTGATGAACATTCTGCATTGAAAAGTATATTTCCGTGAAAACAAAAGTTTTAAAACATCCTCGTCAGTGATGGCAGTGTAGCCAAAGACATGTATGAAAATACTGATGATTCTTTTTTTTTAAATTGAATACTGGATACCTGGAAGAAAGTTTACAACTTTAAGTATATTTTTGCAATTACACTCCATCCAATAATAATGATATTTATATGAGATGAAATTAACATTGTCATTTTATACTTGTAATACTCGCCCAATTGAATACCGTTGTGGTTTTTGTTCATGATAATGTAATATAAGTTCACATTTTCTCATAGAATAGCCTTTTGAATACTGCACATGCTTTCAAATCATTTCAAAATGATATCACATTGTTACACTCAGTATGCATGTACAAGTTTTTTGGAAATAATCTCCCATAATACTTTTCCTGTGAAAATATAATGTGCTATATACTACATGTAACACATAATAATATAACAATAATTTTACTAGTATAAGAAAAATGCATAACTTGTTCTTGATTCTAATTCATTTAAAAATACTTTTGGGGTATTTTGTAATGGTAATTGGTCTGAAAGTAATTATTTGATCCATATGTGCAGGCATAATGTTCATTTCTTATTCGGTCCCATCTCTGTTACCTTTCTTTTAAGCACATATGAACTCATGTTATATTAGTGATATGTGCTATATAAGCAACATTTGTCATTAATATAATTCTTAACCATATTCAGTGGGCATGAAAAGAAAATAAACTTCAGTAATTTTTAAAAATGGTTATGCATATCCTTTCAGACTTGTTTGAAATAAAATAAAAGATTTTTAAAGAAGCAACTGGAAACCATATTGCGATTTCATTGTTTTTAAGAAAAACAAAGTGTTTCACAGCAGATCAAAATCACTTCAATATCAACGCACAATATACACATCAAATGTAAAATTACTTTCTTTGTAAAATGACTACAAGATTATAACAACACAATGCGTGTGTCTCTAACTTTGAGAAAAATCTGTCATATTGATAATGATGTGAAATATATCGTTCTTTGAAACCTATATAAATGAAAACCTCTATTTATATAAAAAAAACTTTTGTTTGCCAGACTTTGAATATAGGCTTAGAAGAAAAGAGATATTCTTTGAAATAGCACACACAGGTAATAAACTGCACATATTTGAAATACATTTTTGTATTTCCTAGTCACTAATGAAAGTATAAAAACAAAATATATATCTATTATGATAAATACCTAACACATAATGGATGAAACACTATAACCTTGTACATGGACATTTCTAATAGATTATTTAACTAAAAATCTTTAATAGAGTTTTGATAATACATGTATCTACTAGCTAGTATCTACATCTCATTCTGAATTTTCTTTTTAATCAAAAGTTGCATGTTTGTTACAAATAACACAAATTGATCAGTCTATAAATAATTACTTAGAAATCTACTTGAACAGTGGCAACACTAGGTTTTTAAAGTGTATGTGTTCAGGGGTGGGTGGGGAGGGTGGGTGGGGAGGGGGAGGGGCTGAAGGAGGGCAAGATAATACATTTGAGGACAGATGAGATGGACAATTTTTCCTGAGCCATAATCCATCCTAAAATTGATCAGTAGAGGAGACACAGGAATATGATCAATCGATGTTGAAAAAAAAAAATAATTGGATTTTAAAATATATTAGAATATTGAAG